ATTGGAGCTGATCCTTCAGAAGCAAAGTCCAAGGTGCATTGAAGGAATTGGCAAAGAGCAAGGCATCAGGAATTGATGGAATAAAAACTGAAATCTTTCAAGAAAGTGAGGTGGCACTAGAGGCACTCACTCATCTATGCCAAGAAATTTGAAAGAGATCCCTATTTGTGCCGATTCCAAAGAGAGGTGACCCAATGGAATGCAGAACTCATAGAACAATCTCATTGATATCCTATGTGAGTAGTTTTATGAAAGGTAATACAGAAACAGCTGCCAGCATACATTGACAGAAAACTTTCAGAGGTTCAAGCTGGATTCAGAAGAGGCCATGGAATGAGGGATATCATTGCTGATGTCCGATGGATCTTGACTAAAAGCAGAGAATATCAGAAAAATCAATCAATCAATCAATAAATCTGTGCTTTATTGACTATGCAAAGGCTTTCGATTGTGTGGACCATGACAAGCTGTGTATAACATTACAAACCATACCTATTCAACCTTTATGCTGAGGAAATAATCCTAGAAGCTGGGTTACATGAAGAAAAACGTGGCATCAGGATTAGAGGAAGACTCATTAACAACCTGCGATATGCAGATGATACAACCTTGCTTGTGAAAGTGCAGAAGACTTAAAATACTTATTGATGAAGATCAAAGAGCACAGCCTTTGGTATGGATTACATCTCAATATAAAGAAAATAAAAATCCTCACCACTGGACCAATAAACAACATTCTTATCAATGGAGAAAACATTGAAGTTGTCAAGAACTTCCTTCTTCCTGGATCAACTATCAACACTCATGGAAGCAGCAGTCAAGAAATCAAACGATGTACTACATTAGGCAAATCTGCTGCACAAGACCTTTTTAAAGCGTTGAAGAGCAAAGATGTCAACTTGAGGACTAAAGTGCGCCTGACCCAAGCCATGGTATTTTCAATGCATGTGAAAGTTAGACAGTGACTAAGGAAGACTATAGAAGAATTGATGCTTTTGAGTTATGGTGTTGGAGGAGACTATTGAAAGTACCATGGGCTGCCAAAAGAACAAAGATATGTGTTGGAAGAAGTGCAGCCAGAGTGCTCCTTGTAGGCCAGGATGGCTAAACTCCATCTCTCATACATACTTCGGACATGTGGTCAGAATGGACCAGTCTCTGGAGAAGGATATCATGTTTGATAAGGTGGAGGGTCAGAGAAAAAGAGGAAGACCCCCAGTGAGATGGATTAGCAAAGTGGCAGCATCAATGGGCTCAAGCGTGACAACAATTGTGACATTGGCCCAGTATTTGGCAGTGCTTCATTCTGTTATGCACAGGGTCACTATGAGTTGGTACCGACTCGATGGCACCTAACAACAACAGCAACAAGCACCCATTTTCATTTCCTTCTATATTTTCGATTTGCCCTGGTTGTGCAGCAGTTACATGCTTGGCTACTAACTAAAAGATCAATGATTGGAACCCATTATTTACTCCTCTGAAGAAGGATGTTACAGTAGACTTCATAAAGATGTACCATCTTGGAAATCCTTTGGGGTTGCTATAAATTGGAATTGACTTGACAGTATTGGCTGTGTGTGTATGTTGGGATTTCCTATACTTTCTAAAGACTCCCTTGCATTTATGGTTCTGATTATGAATTATTTTTCCCTATTAGTTGAGTTTCCATTATGTTTGGAATGTGGAAGTTATCTGGAGGCCATAAACTGTGGTTTTGACCATTTCTTCTAGTAAACAGTGGTGTGGAGACGTGAGAATTGACAGGCAATTTTGTCAGAAATGGCAACAGCTTCTAGATTCTAGCTGTCTGAGCCCTGAATTATAGCTCTGGTGAGGTATATTTGAATTCAAGTGTCCCAGAGTTTTCTGGCTTCTTTCTAATAATTCTGTCCTTGTAATTAAAGGCATTAAATCCCTTTCCATTAAAATACTTGAAAAGTTTGTTGTTTCTTTCATTGACTTAGGACCGATTTACTTCTTCAGTTTGTTACTGTGTTTTGCATCTAATTATTGTTGGTGGTCACCATTGAGTGCCTATAACTCACGACAATCTTATGTGCAAGAGAATGAACTGTTTCCTGGTCTAGCACATTCTCACAATCCCAAGAAAATTTGAATCCATCATTGCATCTCTTATGCCAATCCATCTCCTTATGGCCTCCAACCCTCTTATTGACTTCTATGTCACCGAATGTTCTTCTCTAGCAAATGATCCCTTTTGATGGTATGTCCAAAGCAAGCAAGTCTGACAGTATTATATTGTGTTATACAAAGTTTTCACTGGCTGGTATTTTGAATCACATCTTCAGTCCATTCTACCTAGTTATCTTAGCCTGGAAGCTTCACTGAAACATGTACCATTGGTAACCTCGCTGGTATTTCAAATAATGGGGGAATAGTTTCTATCATCACAGCAACACAGAAGTTAACACAGTACAATAAAGGGACAGAATTTATTTGGAGGTCATACTTACTTCCTCCATTCACCCAATTATCCATCAATTAAAAATGTGCACTAGACCTAACAGGCTGCACTAAGTGGTGCTGAGCTGTATACAAGGCTGGGTAAGCTGAAGTCTTATTCTCCGTTTGGTAGGGGAGAAAATGACAATGAAATGTGTGTCAAGTGATATAATAGAAGTGAGTGGGGTATGGGAAAGAGATTTTGTAGTGTCCAGGATAACTGCTCAGCAGATGTGATGTTTTAGTTGTAACCTAAGATGCCTAGGCTTTTGCCAGCCAGAAGGGCAAAATGTGTCTCAGTATGAAATAGTATGTTCAAAGATATAAATTCATGAAAAAATGGTGGTGTCTTAAGGAAAGGCCAAGTCCTTGGTTTTCATAGGATGCTCCTGGAGGGAGCATGTATCATGAGACACGGCAAGGAAGGTCATCTGTTTCAGATAAAGAAAGACCTTGTTTGTCATACTAAAACATCTGACTTTTATTCTAAAATTACATGGTGCCACTGAAGAGAAGGAAAATTAAGACAATGGGGGCAAAGAGATGGGTAGCGATTCAAGAGATACGGAGGACTTAGAAATGGTAAGACTTAAGGACCTCTGGGTGTGGAGATAAATGAGACGGAAGCTCCTTTATAGGGAGAAGGAATTGGAAATGATATTTAGACAAGTTCCGTTTTGACTCCTTGTCTTTGTTTCATATCAAGTCTTTTTTCTTTCAGTACCCAGGAACTTGAAGAACAAAGAGATTTTAGAAGGCCAGAAATGAGATCTTAGAAAGTGGTCCACCAGGGAAGACAGCACAATATCACAAGGAAGAAAACAAGCCATAAATCATTGCTCACTAATCATTTATTGAGAATTTAAATACAATTCCATAGTCTGCACGCTGATGTACTTGTATTGGGTTTAAAGGGCAAAAGAGTTATGGATTAATAGGTTGGCCCTTGGGAATCTACATGTGCTTTCATTTTGTTATATATACTATGAACGTAGAAAGGCATGGAGTTGGAATGGATCCAATTAGCTCTAGTGATAGGAACTCAACAGTCTCTCTGGTGAGGAGTAGGATCCTAAGTGCAGGGGATATTGTTGACAGTAGGGACACCCTCTGTAGTCTCTGGCTCTTCTATTAGCCTCTTGGTAGATTTCACATCAATCTAGATTATGATGCTTGAGATTCTTGATGCTTTATCCACAGGAGCCAGAGTTCACCCAAGCTCATGTTTCCTGCCCCTTGACAAACATGTCTTCAGGATACTTTTTCTGTTTCTGAACTTGAAGGAGATATTTTCTGTGCTTTCAATGATCCAATCAGGCCCCAACTACATGGAGGACAAACCAAGAAATGATTTAATCCCCAAATTGACCAAAATTGGGTTCTGATTATTTCACCCAATTGACCGCTCAGATTTCATCTAACTAGAAAACCCTTGAGTTGTTGTTTAAAGGAACAAAATGCCCTAGAAGTGATTATTGGTCCTCAAAGAATCATTGCATGTAGATAGAGTGAAGGATAGAGATAAGATACACATTGTCAAGCTCTTAAAGAGAAGAAAAGATGAACTTGACATGTCGATTCCTTTCTTGGCTTCGTGTTGCTTTAGCTTTGTTGATTGTGCTGCCTAGTACTTTGTGCTTTCTGTTCTTGTACGTAGTCATAAAAGGGATTGGAAGAAACAGTTGCCCTAGCAGGATAACCTTCACCCTGATGTCTTGTTTGGGGCCTTCCATTGCCCTGGGTTGGATGGAGTGCTGATTCACTACATCTTCCCTGTGAACCTTGGCTCTGGCCTCCCTGATATCTGGTATGATGACCTTGCTCAGTTCTGTTGGATTGTTGATTCTGGGATCTTTCATAGATGTCTTTCTTTTCATGGGTTTGTGTATTCTGTTGTTGATGAGAGTTTTGATCTTCTTTATGAATTTGTCTGTTTTGTCGGTGATTGTTCTGCTCATGTTGATGGATTTGGCTGTCCTGTCTTTGACAGTTCGGTGCTTGTTCATGGGATTGCCTGTTTTGTCTCTGATGGTTCTGCTCACGTTGGTGGGTTTGCCTCTCCCTTGTCTGATAGCTATGTTCCTGTTGGTGGGTTTGCCTGTCTCGTGCCTCACGTGTACTTTCCTGACCCTGTTGGCTCTGTCTACCATAGCCTCTTTGATGACCCTGCCTCTCCTGTGTCCGGTGGCTCGTTCCTTCACTTTGGCTCTGGGACTGTCTGTGGCCCTGCTCATTGTCACATGATTGCCAGTCTCTTCCTCTGTGGCAGAGTGATCTTCCTTGTTGGAGTTGTGCTATAAATTTGTGTTGGTGTTGTTGGAAATCATCCTCAGCCTGTGCCTTCCAGGACTGCTGATTGCTCATTTCTTTTCCTTGTGACTGTTGACATTGTCTCCCTGACCTTCCTGATTGCTCAACATTTGTGTTTCTTGTTCTCTCACTCCCTTGGTAGTTCTCAGTTTCCCTGGTGTCTGTCTGCGGACATTGATAACTCTGACTTTGCCTGCCTGTCTGACCATAGTGATAACTCTGACCTTGTCTGTCTGTCTGATCACACTGAGAACCTAGACCTTGTCTGTCTGTCTGTCCATATCGAGAACTCTGGGTTTGTCTGGCTGTCTGTCCATACTGGGAACTCTGTGCTTGTCTGCCTGTATGACCATATTGAGAACTTTGGCCTTGTCTATGTGTTTGACCGCAGTCAGAACCCATGTCTTGTCCGTATGTCTGTCTATAGTGAGAATTCTGGCTTTGTCTGTCTGTCTGACCATAATGAGTATCCAATCCTTGCCTAGTGCTCTGACCACAACCTGATTCCTGACCCAATCTTGTAGACTGTCCATAATGAGAGCCTGATTCCTGTTGGTCCAGGTGGCTAGAACGAGAATCCTGTCCAAGACTTCTAGATTGGCCACAGCTTGATCGCTGCCCAAGTCTTTCAGACTGAAGATAATGAGAATCATTCTCACACTGATTTAAGGGAAAGAGATATCCATGTCTTTTATGCTGACTACTGGTAGTCTGATGACTCGAATTTTGACCACAGCCAGAGTCGTGGCCTTGTCTCTCATACTGATCTAATCTGGGATCCTGGTTTTGTCTCTCAGATTGACTATGACAGGAATCCCTTTCTTGTCTTCTTGACTGACTCTGGTGGGACTCTAGATCATGTCTTCCAGACTGACCCAGGTGGGAGTCCCTATCCTGTCTCCCAGACTGATCATGACAGGCATCCTTATCTTGTCTTCCAGACTGATTCTGATGGGTGTCCCTATTCTGTCTCCCAGACTGATACTGGCGGGAGTCCCTATCCTGGCCATGACAGGAATCCCTATCTTGTCTTCCAGTATGACCACGCTGGGAATCCCTATCATGAAACTCAGACTGACCATGATGGGAATCCTGACTTTCTTCTTCATGACTATGCCTTTGTTGTCTGCCTCGGTTTCTTGGGCTCATATGGTCTTGTGATCCCTCCTGTCCTCCTTCTTGCTGGGAAGTTCTATCTCCACATGATTCAGTATCTAGGTTATGATAGCAGGCTTGGGCCAATTGGAACACCAACAAGAGGTATTCTTTAAAATCAACTTGTTCATCTCTATCTCTATCCAACAGGCTCAGGATGGTTTCCACAGTCTCTGGGTCATTTGGTCTCTGCAAGAAGATAAGAGAAAGACTCAAATCAGATCCCCTCCTGTGAATAGTAATATATGTGCCAATATACATGCCCCCAGTCCATTCAGTTCTGTATGGGCATTCCTTGGTTTAAGAACCTTTCATCTAAAGAGTCAGACTTGGTTCTAGTACTTGATTAGCTGATTTTCAGAACCTCATCAGTTGGTAGACCAATGATAGTCATGTCATGCATGTGTAGATATGTCCATTTAAAATCAGGCCTATTAATAAATAATTTGAGCCATTTGAGAAAGTGATCTCATTGCATCACATGGCTTATCATTGTTAGTTTACCTACTACCATCACTACACTGAGATCCTGGATGGAGGGAAAGCTGTTGTTTTTTTAAAATCAATGTCTAGAATGAGGCTGTTATAAAGTAGGTATTCAATGGTTTAATGAATGAATGAATATGTGATAATATATGTAGATGGCTCTAAAATATTGAAATTAAGATATAAATCTTAGATTCTTTCTGAGAAATGTTTCTTAGTTACTTTCAAGTTATACTTTCTCCTGTTCAAAGTCTGACATAAGAAAAGGGTGTGTTTTTTTTGTGTGTGATTGCATGTTAGTGTGTGTGCACACATTCATAAATGCATGTGTTTATGCTTTGAGAGAACTACTAAGCATCTACCTGATACTATTAAGCATCTACTAATACTAAGCATCCGGCGTGGAGGAGCATGACCAAATAAAATAAAAAAACATTAGGTCTTAGGGAGAGCTTGGATGCAGATAGCAGAGTCACTCACACTTGATTCCCATAGACCAGGGTCTCCCCTGGGCCCATCTTACCCGGAGGACGTCTCCAAATTCAGCCAAAAGCAGATGCTTCAGCTCCTTTTTACACAGTGAGGTGCAGTCCCCATCCCCACTGGCGTATTTCTGGAACACCTTGTTCATGGTGAGTATGCTATTCAGGAGTTGAGCCATTTGGGTAAATGCTTGGTGGAGCTAATGGAATAAACCAGAGTTTGTGAGCATGAAGAAGTAAGGTCAGGAGAGAGCATTTTCACAGGGAAAGTGTCCCCTCCTGGTTTGGGAAACAAACTGAATAATAACGGAACCTCTTCTTAATCATATTCCTCATTCCTTTTTTTTTACATTTTTAAAATGTTTTATTGTGAGTTATGTGATAGTTTACATGGGAGAACATTAGTTATTCATTCATCCTATCGTATATCATTTCATTGCCATGGTTACAATCCCCTCCATGCATCATCAACCAACCACAGAGTATACCCTGCAAGCCTGACCCCCAGTCGACAGCACACAGCCCCTCTCCCTCTCTGGGTCTCAAATCCCCAGACGCTCCATCTCTCCACATCATCATTCCTTTTGAACCTGAAGTCAAACTCCAGAAATAGCTACAGATGGTGCTAAATGGTGTTTCCTTTTCTGGTAAAAAAGAACATATCCTCAAAAAAAAGAAAAGAAACAAACACACACACACATTTAGAAGTAGGCCTCAAAATGTTCATAGAACAATGGAAATAAAGGATAATGGAGTTTTCCCATGCAGTTTTGAAGCCCCTTTGTACATAAAACTACAAAGAAAACCTGTTGCCATCAGTTGGTTCTGAATCATAGCAAATCTATGTATTACAGAGAACTGCTGCATAGGGGTTTCTTGGTTGTATATATTTAGGAAAACAGATCTTCAGGTTTTTCTTCTGTGGTACTGCTGGGCGATTCAGTTCACCAACCTTTAGGTTAGTAGTGGAGCACACTCTTTGCACTGCTTAGGGTCTATATATACAAAGGTGCTTCAGAATATTTGTGGAAAGTTGAAGAAAATTCAGAAGGTTTGTGGAAAAGATAAGAGAATTTCCCCATGAACTTTTTGAAGCCCACTAGTATATGAAACACTGGTGCACAGTGGTTGAAGAGCTAGACTACTATGTTAAAGGTTGGTGGTTCAAATCCATCAGCTATCTTGTTGAATAATGATGAGGCAGCCTGTCCTGTAAAGATTTACAGCCTTGGAAAACTCTGGAGTAGTTCTACTCTGTCATATAGAAACTTTGTTGAATCAGAATCAACTTGAGAGAAGTGGGTTTAGTTTGATTTTTGGTTTGAACATGACTTACTTTCCTAATGAACTCCCTAAAGTAAAAAGAATGGTATCTTTCACCAGGGTACCATGGGAGACTCTTGTTAGGTTAAATTCCAGCAAGTCATTCAGGCTGGAATGTGCCTTTTGGAAGATGCTTATAAAATGGAATAATTGAATAAAAGCCATTTGCTACAAATTAAAATAACAAAGTAGGTGCACAGCAAAATGAACTATACAGGTGACAGGAAGCATATACATCAGCTAAGTCAACATTGGACATGCCAGAAAACTACATATTCTTTGGATCTAAATCTCAATGAGATTTCTTCTTGTGAAAATTCCAGTAATTGGAATTTGTCTGTTGAGATTCACAGGCCTCTAAACTTAGCCGGGGGAGAATACTGGCTCTGGAGGAGAAAGATAAGGTTTTTGGTTCCTACAAAGATTTACAGGCTCAGAAATGCTAACAATGCTTCTATGAGACAGAACAAACTTGATGGCACTAACATCAACAACAAATATAAACTCTAACTGCAGAACACACTGGACTACAACGATGCTTATAAGGAATACATGGCAAATAAATGGCAAAGCCAGGTTCTTTGTCATAATTTCTGGCTATGAGATTTCAATATTGTAGGGTCCAGTGGTCTAGGGACTTGGATATGATGAGTGCTAAACTAATGGGTCTTACCAGCCATTCCTCAGAAACCCTATATAGGGTTGCTATGGGTCAGAAATGATTTGAGGACACTTAGCAGCAATAACAGTAGGACACTAAGGTATCCACAGATAGTTCTATCTCTCAGTTTTGAGATGCCTTGTCCTTGTTATTAAGTGCCATGGAGTAGGTTCCTACTTACAAAGACCTTGTATAGCTTTTCTGAGGAGTGTCTGGTAAGTTTATACTACCAACCTTGAGTTTCAAACTGGCCTTGACTTCAAGAGCTTATCCTAGGTCACCCCACCAGGACTCACTTTTAAGATATCTAGAACATAATAGGGCAAAGGCATGTATATCTTTAGGCTCAGAAATTGTTCATCATACTCTCAGATCTCAGGAAAAAGGATGCTTCCAGGTACTTCCAGAGAGCATTTTCAGACCTCCCCAGCCAGGCATATCACAGCTAACTATCAAGAACCTTGCAGAGACTGGTCCTTGTCCCCATGTCTTACCTGCTTACAGAGGAAGGTGCAGAAGATTCAGAGAACAGAAGGGATACTGGAGACTTGACAACCTATCCTATTTATAGGGGTTTTAATTGTCCTACTAGGACATCTCAGGTGACACCCATTCTGTGGCAGAGCCTGAATCACTCTGGGCCCGGCCCAGCTCAGCCCATCTTGATCTTTTCCTTCTGCAAACCGTTTGGTTAATTTGCTTCCTCTACTTATTCACAAACCAGTTTGTCATTAGAGTATGTGACATTGTTCCTGTCCCAGCCCCATTTAATTAGGGCAATGTGTATGCGCATGTGTGTGTATTGTGGAGGGTCCCAAAGGCAGAATTCATCCTGAGTATATGATAAGGATAAAGAAGAGGACATGGAATGAAATATATCATTGTTGACATCCGATGGATCTTAGCTGAAAGCAGAGAATACCAGAAAGATGTTTATCTGTGCTTTGCTGACTGTGCAAAGGCTTTCGATTATGTAGATCATGACAAACTATGGACAGCATTGCAGAGAATGAGTGTTCTGAAATGCTTTTTGTTGTGCTAGTGAGGAGCCTGTGTATAGACCAAGAGACAGTTGTTCAAACAGAACAAGGAAACACTAAATAGCATAAAATTAGGAAAGGTGTGTGCCAGGGTTGTATTCTTTAACTATACTTATTCAATCTGTATGATGAGCAAATAATCCAAGAAGCTGGATTAATGAAGAAAAAGTGACATCAGGATAGAAGGAAGACTCATTGCCAACTTGTGATATGCAAATGATACAACCTTGCTTGTTAAAAGTAAAGAAGACTTAAAATACTTACTGAAGAAGATACAAGACCACAGCCTTCAACATAGGTTGCACCTCAACGTAAAGAAACAAAAATCCTCACCAATGGACCAATAAATAACATCATGATAAATGCAGAAAAAATTGAACTTGTCAAAGACTTTAATTTGCTGGGATCAATCATCAACACTCATGGAAGCAGCAGTCAAGAAATCAAACAACATATTGCATCAGGCAAATCTGCTGCAGAAGACCTCTTTAAAGTGTTGAAGAACAAAGACTTTAGTTTGAGGACTGAGGTGCACTTGACCCAAGCCATGATATTTTCAGTAACATCATATGCATGCGAAAGTTGGACAGTGAATAAGGAAGACCATAGAGGAATTGATGCATCTGAGCTATGGTATTGGAGGAGAATATTAAAAGTACCGAAGACTGCCAAAAAACAAACCAATCTGTATTGGAAGAAGTACAGCTAGAATGCTCCCTGGAAGCCTGGATGTCCAGACTTCATCTCTCATACTTCAGACATATTATCAGGTAAACCAGTCCCTGGAGAAGGATATCATGATTAGTAAAATGGAGGATCAGAGTAAAAGAAGATCCCCAATGAGATGGATTGGCACAGAGGCAGCTGCGATTATCTCAAATGTGGCAACAGTTGTGAGGTTGGCCCAGGACCAGGCAGTGTCTCGTTCTGTTGTGTATAGGGTCACTATGTGTTGGTACTGACTTGATGACATCTAACAATAACAACAACCACATATGTTACTTACCAAGACAAATAGAGTCTATCAACCAAATCATAATAAAGGACATCTGTATGATCACATTGTAGAAATTCGTTGTAGTAGGGACTGTTGTGGCAGAGCAGAATAAGCACTAATGTGCTAACCACAAGATTGGTGGTTCAAACTCACCACCAGCTGTTCCTTGGAAACCATATCAATTGGAACCAGCTTGACAGCACATAACATATATATATATATATATATATATATATATATAATCAGAGAGCATAGTGGCTTCATACTATAAGCACTGGACTGTGAACCACAAGGTCTACAGTTTGAGTCTACAGCCACTCTTCGGGAGAAAGGTGGGGTTTTTGGCTCTTGCGAAGATTTTTAAAGTCTGGGAAACCCTATGCAGGGGTTCTAGAGTAGAATCAGACTCAATGGCACGAACAACAACAAAATATATATACATAATCAGGATACATTTCCAGAAAAAGATGTATATGTCTTAGTTAAAATTTTGCTGCTGTGGGTCAATATTTGTATTTTAATTAATTATCTTTTTTGAATTGCTAAGTTTACATTAAATAACTCCATAGATGGGTGGATTGTTGTTAATTATCTTTTAATTGATTCCAACTCATAATGACCTCATATGTGCAGAGTAGAATTGCTCCATAGAGGTTTCAAAGGTGTGATCTTGTAGAAGCTGACTGCTGGGCCTTCCTTCCAAGGTACCACTGTTGTTGTTAAGTGCCGTCACTGGGTGAGTTTAATATGCTGATCTTTTGGCTAGTAATTGAGGGCTTAACCATTTGCATCAACCAGGCTGTGGAAGAAGTGGATAAGTGACACATTTGAAGGTGTGTGATGATGGTGGGGCTACCCACACTGTGTCCTTTGAGATCTTACTAAACAGTTGTAGCTGAGGAACAACATGGAAGCTTATAATTATTGTGAGGTAGAGATGGTCTCAGAAACAGGGGCCTCCATTTGTTCTGTCTTTATACCAACAACATGCCAGCACAGGGTCCTGAGCACAGGAGAGTTTTAGTAATTGTTTGTAGAATAAGTGAACTGTTGAATTATTGAAGTACTTGAGTATCTTGTACAAGGTGCAAAAAATCTTAGATTTCTATACTTTTTTTTTTTTTTTGTTTCATGCCTAAATCCCTGTTTGGTTCTTTG